TAGATTGACAGAAGATAAAGGTTGCTTGCTCTTGGGGTGGCAAGATAGAGCCATACTTGCTGCTTCTGCATGGCGATGCTAATTAATTTTAATTTAATCTTATCTTAATTACCTTTTCACGTGTACTTGTTTATTAGCAAATTTGATATTAAATTGTTTTGTGTACGTACGTAATGCCATGCAAAAAAGACGAGATGAATTCCAAAAATGGAAAAGATAAAGGATTATTTATATATGTATTTATTAATTTCAGTGTAGAAAGTGACCTGTTATTGATAAGGATAAGGTCAATTTGAGGAGATGATATTTGCTTAATTTATTATCGCATACAAGATCCTCACTGTACATTACGTGTACTTATCCGATTGCTTTCCCGTCTTTGATGTCGTAACCACTGGACTAGCTTTTACCTCTTCCCAGGATTAATAATTCTTCAGATATTTTCTGGAAAATTGAAATATAATTACATATTCTTGATGGTGAGCGCCAATGTTTTAATAACTAACCGGGGAGAAACCCCGGCAAAGTCGCCGGGTCCCAGCTGTCAAAAATTTTAAAATTCAACAAATATACCCCCAAAACTTCATTAAGTCCCTACAGGTTTAGAATTTAGTAAATACATCCCAAATACAAATCAGTCGTCGATTGGTTGGCAACATTGACTACCAAATGCAATCTCAATAATCTCTTAAGCCTATAGCCTACAAAATTTACTCAAGATTTGGCCGAAATCGACCGATTTTGGCCAAATCTAACGAACATTGGCGTCGACCGATTTCTGCCAAATCTCACCACTACCAGTGTCGTCAACCCTCTCCATCACTACGAAAATATTCCCCTCAACCCCCCTAACCAAAACCTACCCCATACAAATCGGTTGCGACGACGACACATCAAATGCAATCTCAATCATCCCTTGAACCCATAACTTAGAAAATCTATCCAAAATCTAGTCGAAATTAACCAATTTCAGCCAGATCTAACCAATGCTGGCATCAACCGATTTCGGCCAAGATCTCACCAAAAAAAATACTCCCCTCAACATCCTGACCAAAACCCATCTCACACCACCTCGATTCACCTCGTCAATCGCCGACAAAAGGCGACTATTGTCGTGGCTCTTTTTTTCGATTGATTAACTCACCGAAAATCAATTCTATCACCACTATTGCAATCACTGGCACTTTCTCTTCAAAATCCCTAACATCCCGACCTTTAATTGTTCGCCAATCATCATCCCAAACTTCTAAGGTTTTACGTGAATAAGAAAATTGTTAACCCAGTCTGGTGAAGGTCCCGAGTCTTAGTTTAACCAGCCGGGCCAAGCCATGTTTTAAAACACTGGTGAACGCTTCATTATTTACATTGTTTTAAAAACTGGACCGGAGGGCAAACCGTTTTTATGGTCGGGTCACGGTCCAACCGGTTGGACCGCTTATTGGACCGATGACATCATCACACATCATGATGACGTCAGCACATTTTTAAAAAAACAATTTTTTTTTTAGATTTCTATTTTTCCTAAGACAATAAGTAAGCTTAATTATTAGGGAAGCAAAGAGCTAATCACAGAAAGTTATTTGAATCAATCAGTTTTCCTGAGAACTTCATATCAACGATGCAGCTCAAACTCTCCCATAAAGAAAATATGAAACCTAAGAAGAAGAAATATAGTAAAAAACCATGAAATAAATAAAATGATAATTCATACGAAGACCAATGCTTATCCAACAAATGATAATTGTAAATTCACTAGTCGAATTACATTTTGCTATAATGTTATAATATTGACTAGCTACTCCAAACCTTATAACAAAATCAACATTGTGCTTAGCTTTTCATCTCAGCTTGGAGCTTTTAGTAGTACCCTGAAATCAAGAGGCAGAGCAAAGCCCACTTCATAAGGTGTTTAACTCTCCAAATTACCAGTCTATGCAATCGGATCAGGGTCTTTCGTTGCCACGATTGAAGAACTCTTGATGATTACCAAAAAGATGGGTACGGGATGTTCTCACCGATGAAAATATCAGGTAGTGGAAGTTCCCCACAATTTTTGATATGCCTAGCACGGTTCCAGCGATCCTGGACTGCTTAACAATGCCCATTCTTCAAGGCTTTGTGGATCAATGAGTGAAACATCGTCGACGGCTGGTGGTTCTCAACTGAATCAAGAGAAGGATATCTATCAAATGGGCTCCATTGGAACTGCACCATTATCACAACAACTGAAACAAGAGCGTCATCAGGAGCAAACAACAACGCAACTGCAGCAACAACCACCACCACCGCAGCAGAATATTAACCATAACTTGATGGCACCTCTTCCAATTAGTTCTGAGCGGTTAAACTCTCTCTCTCTCTCATTGGTGTCCTTTTTCCTTCCTGCTGAATATTGCTGATCATGCTTACAGTAAAAACAAGAAAAAAAAAAGTTAATGGCGGCTTGAGAGTTACATAAACTTGTTTCATTCGAATAAACTTGTTTTCATTTGAATGAAAAGTAGAAGGATTGCCTATGAAAGAGATCGGTAAATTGATGTGTGCATGCATGTATCTGTAGCACTTTGTCTTTTTGTTTCAAACATAAGTGGGATCATCACAGAATTTCCTTCTTAATTCATTTTTTTCCCGTATAGGAACAAGACAGTGGACTTCAGTTGGTGCTCTCCTTCTTGCCTGCGCCGAAGCAGTGGCCAAAGAGGACTACATGTTAGCAAGACGATACTACATCACCTCAATCGAGTGGTCTCACCGCTCGGTGACTCCATGCAAAGAGTTGCCTCCTGCTTCACTGAAGCCTTAAGCGCAGGCTTGCGGCAACCCTCTCCAAACCCAGTACATCTACCACAAAACCCTTCACTTCTTCCCCACCAAACTCCCTGGAAGTCCTTAAAATTTACCAAATTGTGTACCAAGCCTGCCCTACGTAAAGTTCGCGCATTTCACAGCTAATCAAGCTATTTTGAGGCTTTTGAAGCCGAGGAACGCGTGCATGTCATTGCCGTCTGGGGCATAGCTTTTACTACTGTTTCGTAGTGGCCTTTATGATATTAAAGGCCACTACGAAACAGAATATATATCTATATATGATATTAAAGCCAATCAGAACGCGTTTTAGCAGGTCAAAACATGCTATAAAACAAGTTTAATCGTTCTTGAATGATTTCTTCAACCAATCAATCGTTATGGACTACATGGAAATTCTTATAACTACCAAATGAACCATATTTACCACCAAAATCTAGAATTTCTTAAGACTTGGTCAAGATTTTTAAGTTTTAAAAAGTAGCTTTTACAGCTACATGTACAAACTCAATATTACTTCCATGCTTTAACCAATATTGCTCTAAAAATGATCGATGCTTTCCAGAAATTGAACTGTTTTTCCCAATAAAATAATGGGTAGCTAGTGATGTAATGAAATCTGGAGTCAAATGAGGTTTTTGTTTTAGTCTTTTAGAGATTAATGACAATATAATATACGGTACATAATGATGGAGTTCCAGAGGAGGATAATTAGGGTTCGAAGAGACAAATAGAAGAAGAGAATAAAACTTCGACGTTTGTGGATGGACACATGCATATAACGTAATTTCATTTCGTTTTCCTATCCTCCTCGAGAGATAGAAATGTTTGTGTTTCCAAGTCATGAGGCAAGAATTGTTATTGGATTGGAGGTGAAAAGTGTACGTGGCTACTGATATTGTAAAAAATGACATGCAAGATCGTCGTGAAAAGAAAGTGAATTAATAATATAAATGCGAGAGGGAAGAGAAATGCCGCCTAAGAGAGACAAACGCTTCTTTCCTTTGGCAAATCCAAGGCGTAGGCGGCGCCACCGACGCCAAATCCGACGATCTTGCCAATGTCTCCTCTTTCGTCTTCTTGCTCCATCACCCTCTCACGTCCTATAGGTCCGAAGTCAAAATGAATTTCTCCTTTGCACTCTTTTTTCCATTATATTTTCTCAACTCTACATATGTATATATGGTTCGCTCATTTATATTAACAATAACTTTCCCTGTAAATATATCTCACAGTACATTTAAACTCTCTCTAAGCCAGTTTGAACCACCCCATCTTCACCATTTTTGTTCATCTTTATGCATATTAACACGGCCTGCATACACTATATGTCTAAAATATGAGCTATAAAGGGTATAAAAACTTTTATTCTAATCTTCAATCCTTCTTATTATCCATGATAGAATCAGGAGTTTCTCATTGTATAACAAAAAAAATGTCTTATGATCCACCAATGATAGATGTATTAATGACAAGACTTCGATAAATGTAGCAGTTATTTAATTTGATTCAGCTTAAAAGGACTGTGAGAAAAAGTAAAAATGCTAAACTTTGTGTTGACTTGTGGAAATAATCACCATAGATATTAGCAAAGGGCCTTCTTGTTAATGCAAAATTATTTGTTCCCATCTGTCATTGTGCATTGTTAAAGTCCTTTTCGCAAAATTATAATAGATTTGATGGGTCCTATCCTGTCGTTTTTCGTTTTAATATAATTTCCTTCTTAATTTTCTCCTGTCTATAATTCTATATTAACCAATCTCCAATCTCTGATACAAAAGTAACGATAATCTCTAATATTTTATCACAAGAAAAGGTCCAAGGAATTCCCAACTCACTTATTCCAAACCGGGCCGGCCCAAGGAAAGTGGACCCAACCAATAAATTGTCCTTTAGTAAAACCACAGGCCTTCCAAGGCTGAGTTAAAAAGAGATGGCTAAAGATGACAAATTTCATCTCTAGAAAACAACTAAACATAGTAGAGAGCGGTGATGAATTGAAGTTGGGGGTGATTAATATCACTAACCTCCAATCACAAACAATCAGAATTTGGATTTGTCCACAAATCTCTTTCCCTTTCTTTGACAATCTGGACAAAGTGACAAGGGCCCGTTTAGCGCAAATAAGAAGAGTGAAAGCCACACTCTCTACCTTTTCCTCTAAACCATAGAGGCCAAATCCTGGACCAAGAATAGAGAGAGTTATAGCTAAAAGAGAAAATACGGCAGAAAAAAAAAATATATATCGTTGTTTTCTGTATTAGGGTACTGAGAATTATTTGTATTAAGATATTAATTCACTTTGTGGAAGCATGGCTCCTCTTAAGAGTGAGAATTCCACCACTAAACTGCAACCAACTTCTCCAAATGAGTCAGTTTCAGAAACTAAAAAAAGTATTGTATCTTCTGACATGGAGCAAAATACTAGCTTAACTCCACCAAGCCTCAACTTCCCACCTCTGAAATTTGAGTTGGATGCGGATGTTGAAATCCAGTCACCGGACAGTTCAATATGGGAGACGTTTTTTTCCGATCATTTAGATGGTGACTTCATGATCTCATCTCCAGTGAGGAATTCGCCATCTCCACAAATTTCAACTTACAACTATAATTACAACTATCCTCAGGCAATGCAGGGGCAGAGTCTTTCAGGGTGCTCTCCTCCACGCTTTTCATCTCAGCTTGGAGCTTTTAGTAGTACCCTGAAATCAAGAGGGCAAAGCCCACTTCATAAGGTGTTTAACTCTCCAAATTACCAGTCTATGCAATCGGATCAGGGTCTTTCGTTGCCTGCGATTGAAGAACTCTTGGATGATTACCAAAAAGATGGGTACGGGATGTTCTCACCGATGAAAATATCAGGTAGTGGAAGTTCCCCACAACTGTTTGATATGCCTAGCACGGTTCCAGCGATCCTGGACTGCTTAACAATGCCCATTTCTTCAAGGCTTTGTGGATCAATGAGTGAAACATCGTCGACGGCTGGTGGTTCTCAACTGAATCAAGAGAAGGATATCTATCAAATGGGCTCCATTGGAACTGCACCATTATCACAACAACTGAAACAAGAGCGTCATCAGGAGCAACAACAAACGCAACTGCAGCAACAACCACCACCACCGCAGCAGCAGAATATTAACCATAACTTGATGGCACCTCTTCCAATTAGTTCTGAGCAGGTTAAACTCTCTCTCTCTCTCTCTCATTGGTGTCCTTTTTCCTTTCCTGCTGAATATTGCTGATCATGTCTTACAGTAAAAACAAGAAGAAAAAAAAGTTAATGGCGGCTTGAGAGTTACATAAACTTGTTTTCATTCGAATAAACTTGTTTTCATTTGAATGAAAAGTAGAAGATTGCTCTATGAAAGAGATCGGTCAAATTGATGTGTGCATGCATGTATCTGTAGCACTTTGTCTTTTTTGTTCCAAACATAAAATGGGATCATCACAGAATTTCCTGTCTTAATTTCATTTTTTTCCCGTATAGGAACAAGACAGTGGGCTTCAGTTGGTGCATCTCCTTCTTGCCTGCGCCGAAGCAGTGGCCAAAGAGGACTACATGTTAGCAAGACGATATCTACATCACCTCAATCGAGTGGTCTCACCGCTCGGTGACTCCATGCAAAGAGTTGCCTCCTGCTTCACTGAAGCCTTAAGCGCTAGGCTTGCGGCAACCCTCTCCACCAAACCCAGTACATCTACCACAAAACCCTTCACTTCTTTCCCACCAAACTCCCTGGAAGTCCTTAAAATTTACCAAATTGTGTACCAAGCCTGCCCCTACGTAAAGTTCGCGCATTTCACAGCTAATCAAGCTATTTTTGAGGCTTTTGAAGCCGAGGAACGCGTGCATGTCATTGACCTAGATATTCTCCAGGGCTACCAATGGCCAGCTTTCATGCAAGCCCTAGCTTCTAGACCAGGAGGCGCTCCATTTCTCCGAATAACTGGAGTTGGACCTTCAATAGAATCCGTGAAAGAAACAGGCCGATGCTTAACGGAACTTGCCCACTCTCTCCATGTACCATTCGAGTTCCACCCAGTTGGGGAGCAACTCGAAGACCTTAAGCCACACATGTTCAACAGACGTGTCGGCGAGGCTCTTGCCGTGAACGCAGTGAACAGCCTCCATCGTGTCCCGGGAAATTGTCTAGGAAACCTATTGGCAATGATCCGTGATCAAGCCCCAAATATTGTAACGCTAGTTGAAAAAGAAGCAAGCCATAATGGACCATACTTCTTAGGCCGATTCCTTGAGGCATTGCACTACTATTCCGCAATTTTTGATTCATTAGACGCAACGTTTCCACCAGATTCCGCACAGAGGGCAAAAGTGGAGCAATACATTTTTGCTCCCGAGATACTGAACATAGTGGCGTGTGAGGGAGCCGAGAGAATAGAAAGACATGAAAGGCTGGAGAAATGGAGAAAGATGATGGAGGGAAAAGGGTTTAAAGGAGTGCCATTGAGCGCAAACGCGGTGACTCAATCGAAGATATTGCTAGGATTATATTCATGCGATGGGTATAGATTGACAGAAGATAAAGGTTGCTTGCTCTTGGGGTGGCAAGATAGAGCCATACTTGCTGCTTCTGCATGGCGATGCTAATTAATTTTAATTTAATCTTATCTTAATTACCTTTTCACGTGTACTTGTTTATTAGCAAATTTGATATTAAATTGTTTTGTGTACGTACGTAATGCCATGCAAAAAAGACGAGATGAATTCCAAAAATGGCAAAGATAAAGGATTATTTATATATGTATTTATTAATTTCAGTGTAGAAAGTGACCTGTTATTGATAAGGATAAGGTCAATTTGAGGAGATGATATTTGCTTTATTTATTATCGCATACAAGATCCTCACTGTACATTACGTGTACTTATCCGATTGCTTTCCCGTCTTTGATGTCGTAACCACTGGACTGGCTTTTACCTCTTCGCAGGATTAATAATTCTTCAGATATTTTCTGGAAAATTAAAATATAATTACATATTCTTGATGGTGAGCACCAATGTTTTAATAACTAACCGGGGAGAAACTCGGTAAAGTTGCCGGGTCTCAGCTGCCAATAATTTTAAAATTTAATAAATACACCGCTAAAAATTTATTAAATCCCTATAAATTTGAAATTTAGTAAATATTAAATATATCCCAAATACAAATCGGTCATCGATTGATTGGCAATATCGACATACCAAATACAATCTCAATCATCCGTTAAACCTATAGCCTACAAAATTTATCCAAGATCAAGCCAAAATCAACCAATTTTGGCCAGATCTAACCAATGTTGGCGTCGATCGATTTCAGCCAAATCTCACCACCACTGGTGTCGTCAACCCTTTCCATCACCACGAAAATACTCCCCTCAACCCGCTAACCAAAACTCATCTCACCCCACCCCCATGCAAATCGATCGCGACGACGTCACACCGAATGCAATTTCAATCATCCCTTAACCTCATAGCTTAGAAAATCTATCCAAGATCTAGCCAAAATTAACCAATTTCGGCCAGATCCAACCAAAGCTGGCATCGACCGATTTCGACCAAGACCTCACCACTGTCGGCTTCGTCAACCCTCCCCATCACAACAAAAATACTCCCCTCAACGCCCTGACCAAAACCCATCTCACACCACCTCGATTCACCTCACCAATTGCCGGCAAAAGACGACTATTGCCATGGCTTTTTTTTTTTTTTCGATTTTCGATTTATTAACTCACCGAAAATCAATTCTATCACCACTATTGCATTCACTGGCACTTCCTCTTCAAAATCCCTAACATCCCGACCTTCAATTGTTCATCGATCATCATCCCAAAATTCTAAGGTTTTGCGTGAATAGAAAAATTGTTTACCCAACCTAGTGAATGTCCAGGTCTCAATTTAACCAGCCGCCCAAGCCAAGTTTTAAAACACTGGTGAACGCTTCATTATTGATGAGACTCACACGTATTGGTATGAATTTGGATCGTCTCTAATCTGAGTAGGCAGTAATTTCTACTTTACATCATAAACCATTCAACACTAAACTGCAATTGATCAACCAATAGTAACTTTTTTGTTTTACAAATTAAGTCTAATGGATCTTCAATCCACATTCGAAGAAGCACCATGGCATATTTGCCAGAAGATTGTACCATTTAGAAAATGTTTTTGTCAACATGGTATGGGCAGATCAGAACTTACAATAAACACTGCAACAAACCCTTCTGAATATCGTACTCAAAAGCCTTGTAAAATAAAAATAAAAAATGAATTACAGCTACCAAATACATCAAACACCCACTTTACAAAACGCAAATACATGATCACCATCATGCACTGTTACACAGGAATGCCCTTGGACAAACACATAACGACAAGGGATGACATTGTTTTACAAATTATTGTGTTTCCAGCTACTCATTTCCGTGGCCAAGGCGATCCCAGAAAATCCCAAGGTCACCTCAAAAGCTTGGCCCTTAATAAACAGCAACTCTCTTACAATATGGAACATGAGCAAAGATGTTTCTTTGGGGCTTCATCCACTTTCTTTTCTGTATAGACAAATAAAAAGGACCATTGGCACAATAAATACACAAGACTATCTCAGGATTTAAATTTGCAAATGGCTCATGCAATATTCTGAATGGCACAATGCAGAAATACAAGCAGTGAAACAAAAATTTAATTGGCAGGACCATTAGCACAATGAATACACAGAATTACCGGTTTTTGCTTTTGTTAAGGGTGGCTGCACAACAACATGCATCGTGATAGTCCCTTTTGGAAGGTCACCGAACGGTGCTCTACACTGGCCAACAGTCTTATTGTTTTCCAAAATTTTTCCGGCATTAATTAACTTGATATCATTGGCTGCCTTGGGTACAAACTTCTTGTCTAATAAAAATCAGAACATTAAACCCATCTTAGAAAACAAAAATCAATAATCAGCAACCAGAAACGGATGGAAATTAAAGTGAGAAAAATCAGTATCACTATTGCTTCAAAAGCTAATCTATTACTCTTGCTTGCAAATAGGATTATTAAAAGCCAAAAAGCATAAATCAGATCATGGACGGGCTACATTATGTTCTAAATGAAAAAAAAAAGCCAAAAATCATCAGTGCAAGGAGTTCGTTATGGCATGGCAAGATAAATTCAAATAGTTTTTTTTTTTTTTAAAAAAAAAAAAAATAGAGAGATTGGAATGTGGTGAAAAACATGATAATAGGGTTGCAAGATCAAAATAATTGAGTGTTTCAAGAAGTATTGGAAGTAATATAAATCAAAGACCTGAAATTATCTTATCAAACTGTTATTAGCAGACATACTTACTTAGGTTTAAACCCTCTAGTTGTGGTTTGTAAATCTTAAAATGCTGTTTTACAAAGCATAATCTCAAAGTTGTGTAACGAGATAGTAAATTGATATAAAAGTTAGCCTAATCACCATTCGATCAAGGCATCCCTGAGGTGGCATCAAAGCAATACAGGATTAATTTAGACTCTAGCCTACCCATCAAACCATGATCACTCTGTTTATGCTATATGAGGCAAATCAACTCATCCAACAAGATGGCCCTTGAAGTTAACTGCACCAATTAGAAAGGAAACTTCAGCATAATCAAAACCATACCCTGTTTATGGACAGGGTACACAAGGTTGTAATGCCCCAAATGACCAACTCAAACTATGAAGGCAATCAAATTCTTAATCAACTGGCCCATAACTTAAAACAAAAGGTGAACAAACCTTATAAGATGCCAAAGAGCCAAATATCATCAAAGGGGATTAGACCCACCAAAAAGAAAAGTAAATGCATCTAAGAAGGCAAGAACAGAGGCATGTGTAAGGCGCTGCTAATTACACAGAACTCAAAAGCTCCCTTCCAGAACCTTGAAAACAAGGTCTCAAGACTCTCAACTAGAAAATTAACATTTTCCATGTATCCCAGTAACTCCAAATCAACTATAAAATGAACATGAAATAGACCTTGCAGTCGTAGATGGAAAACATTTATAGTTGTTATCACAAAAAGGAAAGATCATTCATATACGCTATGTAAAAGGGTTGACTGAATTCTACTTTGTAAAAATGACATAACAATCTAAGGGTAGCAAGGACATTCAGTTTGCCAGTGCATTACGAGAATAAATAATGATTATGAGTTCATTTACACATTCATTTAGTCCAAAAAAAGTGAACATAGAAACAGAATCCAGAATTAAACTTTTTTCATGTAGAATAAGCAATGCAACCATAAAAAATAAATGGAAAGAAAACTGTAACTATACATTAAATACCCATTTGCATGTCCCTATGGTGTCTTCAGCATTATGCAATTCACATTATAAATTAGAAATCTAAGATTGTTTGAACAAATTATTGCATCTACGAAGTACACAAAGCAACAGCATTATAGCACCACATGAAAATAGCAAGATGCACACAGGTTAAAAATTCTTTTTAATCGATTTAAAATGGTGTCTGGTTAAGGTGAAAAAGATATCATAGGTAAGAGTGGCCAGAAGGACAATATTTGAAGTAATTAATCCACGGGAAGCATGGATGGTTCCATCAGAGGTTAAGATAAAAGTTAAACAGCTCTGATGGCTTCATCATGTGGAACTAAAGACAAGGCAATGCCACTCAGGAGAAATCTGGTAAAATATGTACATAAGGACAGGTAAAGAGATTGATCGTCAAGTTTGAAAGAGTGGACATGATAATGCATGGCTGTTACAAAGAAAACCCCATTTAAAGCAAACCTGCAACAAAAATTTCTTATTCTCAATCCCAATATTAACTTTTAGGCCTAAGTTTTTGATCCATTGGATGACAGAAAGGCATGTAAAATAAGAGCAGATAAGCATTACCAGTCACACAACTTCCTTAAAAGGCATGTTATTGTCTAATCGAGGAGCACAAAAAGTTTGCAAATATTTCATCAATAATACAAAACTGTTACATTACAAACTACTAAATAGATTTCCAATTATGCAAATCCCCCACCCCCTGCACCACAAGCGTCATGTAACCTAGTCAACAAATACACACACAATCAAATAAATAAATAAAACAGACAAAGTTCTTGATCGACCTCCCTATGCCCATATCAAGTAGGCAAATATGCCAAAAGAATATAGCCTAATGATTACCCATCATGTGAAAATTTCATCCAGTAAAGGGGCACATATTAGAATGCAATAGAAACCTACAATTAAAATTAATTTCATGGAACCATCAAACACAATGTTGAATTCCTAACCTTTTGGCCACTCTGAAAATATTCTTTCTTTCAGCATGGCCACTGTCGAGGTTGGCGAATAACGAAATGGACCAATATCGGATCCATCATACAACCGAAACTTCAGCTCCAACAGGTCGTCCTCCGGCATTTCACCACTTTACTACCAATACAAAACCCTCAACAAGAACCCTGTCCACGACCTTTCACTTCAAAAGAATCAGCAAACAATCCACCACAAGAATCCCTATTCAATTCAACCAAAATCTGCAATCATGTCAGCACCCAGTTTGTTTACCATTAAAATGCAAGAAACTAAGACAAACAAAAAAAAAACTTTCATGTCATCACAAAATACACTGGTATACCAAAACACTTCTTCACTAATCAGGAAATTCACCAACGAACTCCAATTTAGAGAAAACAATAGACTGTTTGGTTCAAATAAAACGCGACAAACTAAGTAGAAACCACAATCTCAAACCGACGACTTTAAGTTAAAACTTAAGCAAAGAAAACGGGATACTGACCAACAACCAATTCAACTCAAATACCACCTTCAACCAACTAACAAACCAACCACCAAATAGTTAATCGTGATAAAACAGCAAAAACACAACGGCTAAAACCAATTAGCATCAAAACACAACATTTAAAAAACAAAAACAAAAAAAAAAAAAAAATGAAACTGTTTAACAACTACTGAGCTAAACAAAATAAAAAAAAGTTACCTTTAGAAGAAAACACAGAATGAGGAAGAGAATCAAAAGGTTTTTAAGTGGTGAATCTGAAAGAAACCCTAAATTACTTACACGGTTACACCCCGATCCTGACGCTTTGCTTACTTTGTTTTATTTGGTTTTTATCGTGTTCCGTGTGCGTGTTTATATTAGCAGGAAAGGTTTACATTTTTTTTCCTCTTTTTTATTTATTTATCTAAATTTATTCTGTTTTTAGAATTTATTTTTTGTTTTGTTTTTATCGAGTTTAAAGAAAGAGAGTGCGAGTGAGATTTCGGACCGAATCTTGTCAGTAAATAGCCGAGAAACTCACCACTTAGTGCAGTTGTTTTGTCGGTAAATGACATTGTAATAGAAGCGTTTTGTTTCTCTGTTGCCGAGTACACTGCGTCAACATGGACATCCACCACTTACGAGACCACGCGTGTCTCCCATGCTACGTGGCGATCAAATATTGGTTGTTTTGAAATGGCTAACAGTAGGTGACAAAAGAGTTTGACCAAAATTAATGGGGAGAAATCTAGAGGTCGGTAGATGCTCTGTTAAAATGGTTCAAGTGCCACCGCGTGTACACAGAGACAATCGCCTTGATTTTGTAATTACTTAGTGCTAATCTTGTTTAATAAAAACCATTTGATTGTAAATTATTTTGTTTCTCAGTTTTTGCTCTAATTTTTAAAACGTAATCTTATTCAATTGAGTTAGCCGGCATCATGAACTGCCCGTATTTGCATTCAAAAAAAAATTAGAAGCAAATGGCCAATTCAATTGGGCCTCCGGCCCAAACGGCTCACTGTTTCTGGGCCCTCATGTTACCTAAACACATCTCTATTGAACCACCTCTTCTCATATTTTAAATTACATTTCACTTTCATATATATTCTCTGCATATTTTATTTCAATTTATTTCCTTCTCTAAATTTGTGTTTAATGTAAAAGAATCGAGTTTGCATCGTCTCAATAAGCACCACATGAAAATAGCAAGATGCACACAGGTTAAAAATTCTTTTAATCGTTAAAATGGTGTCTGGTTAAGGTGAAAAAGATATCATAGGTAGAGTGGCCAAAAGAAAATATTTGAAGTAATTAATCCACGGGAAGCATGGGTTTTCCATCCTAGAGTTAGCCAGAAGGAAAATATTTGAAGTAATTAATCCACGGGAAGCATGGATGGTTCCATCAGAGGTTAAGATAAAAGTTAAACAGCTCTGATGGCTTCATCATGTGGAACTAAAGACAAGGCAATGCCACTCAGGAGAAATCTGGGAAAATATGTACATAAGGACAGGTAAAGAGATTGATCGTCAAGTTTGAAAGAGTGGACATGATAATGCATGGCTGTTACAGAGAAAACCCCATTTAAAGCAAACCTGAAACAAAAATTTCTTATTCTCAATCTCAATATTCACTTTTAGGCCTAAGTTTTTGATCCATTGGATGACTGAAAGGCGTGTAAAATAAGAGCAGATAAGCATTACCAGTCACACAACTTTCTTAAAAGGCATGTTATTGTCTAGTCGAGGAGCACAAAAAGTTTGCAAATATTTCATCAATAATACAAAACTGTTACATTACAAACTACTAAATAGATTTCCAATTATGCAAATCCCCCACCCCCTGCATCACAAGCGTCATGTAACCTAGTCAACAAATACACACACAATCAAATAAATAAATAAAACAGATAAAGTTCTTGATCGACCTCCCTATGCCCATATCAAGTAGCCAAATATGCCAAAAGAATATAGCCTAATGATTACCCATCATGTGAAAATTTCATCCAGCAAAGGGACACATATTAGAATGCAATAGAAACCTACAATTAAAATTAATTTCATGGAACCATCAAACACAATGTTGAATTCCTAACCTTTTGGCCACTCTGAAAATATTCTTTCTTTCAGCATGGCCACTGTCGAGGTTGGCGAATAACGAAATGGACCAATATCGGATCCATCATACAACCGAAACTTCAGCTCCAACAGGTCGTCCTCCGGCATTTCACCACTTTACTACCAATACAAAACCCTCAACAAGAACCCTGTCCACGACCTTTCACTTCAAAAGAATCAGCAAACAATCCACCACAAGAATCCCTATTCAATTCAACCAAAATCTGCAATCATGCCAGCACCCAGTTTGTTTACCATTAAAATGCAAGAAACTAAAACAAACAAAAAAAAAACTTTCATGTCATCATAAAATACTCTGGTATACCAAAACACTTCTTCACTAATCAGGAAATTCACCAACGAACTCCAAATTAGAGAAAACAATAGACTGTTTGGTTCAAATAAAACGCGACAAACTAAGTAGAAACCACAATCTCAAACCGACGACTTTAAGTTAAAACTTAAGCAAAGAAAACGGGATACTGAACAACCACCAATTCAACTCAAATACCACCTACAACCAACTAACAAACCAACCACCAAATAGTTAATCGTGATAAAACAGCAAAAACACAACGGCTAAAACCAATTAGCATCAAAACACAACATTTAAAAAACAAAAACAAAAAAAAAAAAAAAATGAAACTGTTTAACAACTACTGAGCTAAACAAAATAAAAAAAAGTTACCTTTAGAAGAAAATACAGAATGAGGAAGAGAATCAAAGGGTTTTTAAGTGGTGAATCTGAAAGAAACCCTAAATTACTTACACGGCTACACCCCGATCCTGACGCTTTGCTTACTTTGTTTAATTTGTTTTTTATCGTGTTCCGTGTGCGTGTTTATATTAGCAGGAGACTACGTTTACATATTTTTTCCTCTTTTTTATTTATTTATCTAAATTTATTCTGTTTTTAGAATTTATTTTTTGTTTTGTTTTTATCGAGTTTAAAGAAAGAGAGTGCGAGTGAGATTTCGGACCGAATCTTGTCAGTAAATAGTCGAGAAACTCACCACTTAGTGCAGTTGTTTTGTCGGTAAATGACATTGTAATAGAAGCGTTTTGTTTCTCTGTTGCCGAGTACACTGCGTCAACATGGACATCTACCACTTACGAGACCACGCGTGTCTCTCATGCTACGTGGCGATCAAATATTGGGTGTTTTGAAATTGCTAACAGTAGGTGACAAAAGAGTTTGACCAAAATTAATGGGGAGAAATCTAGTGGTCGGTAGATGCTCTGTTAAAATGGTTAAAGTGCCACCGCGTGTACACAGAGACAAATGCCTTGATTTTCTAATTACTTAGTGCTAATCTTGTTTAATAAAAACCATCTGATTGTAAATTATTTTGTTTCTCAGTTTTTGCTTTAATTTTTAAAACGTAATCTTAATCAATTGAGTTAGCCGGCATCATGAACTGCCCGCCCGTATTTGCATTCAAAGAAAAATTAGAAGCAAATGGCCAATTCAATTGGGCCTCTGGCCCAAAAGGCTCACTGTTTCTGGGCCCTCATGTTACCTAGACACATCTCTATTGAACCACCTCTTCTCATATTTTAAATTACATTTCACTTTCATATATATTCTCTGCATATTTTATTTCAATTTATTTCCTTCTCTAAATTTGTGTTTAATTTAAAAGAATCGAGTTTGCATCGTCTCAAAATTAATTAATCATATTTTATATCTCATTTGTAACTAACATGTTTTACGATCTAATGCATATATCGATACTTGATTGATGGATAGAATTGCAAATGTAAAAAGAATAATCTTTTCTTATTTTTATTTTAATCTTTAATTAATTTTTATAGATGCACTACAGAATAATTGCGATGCCATATAGTTATCTTATTAAGGTGAAGACTTAAAAAAAGTTTAATTTAATTTAAATTGTATTATCTCGAATACCATATAAAAAACGAGTTAATATCACATTAAACTTTTGAACTATAAGATGCTTGTATATATCAATAGATATACTCTTAATTTTATCAACATTATTTTTATATTATTTCTTCTTAGATTCAACATTCAGAATGTCAAAGATGCATAGACTTTCGGTTTTGGTTTATTTGATATAATAAAATTACGAGAATATTCTAATTCTTCAAATCTTCTTTTTTTTTTGGGTCTTTTGGAAACTTTAAGGGCGGTATACTTGGCAACTAAGCAGCAACGACACCTCCCTTAAACAAGATTAACAAATAATTAACTACATAATTAAAATGAAAGAATAATTGAATTTTCTTTTCATTGATTCTGCTTATAACTTTCAGAATGATAATTTACAAAACAGAATCATGTCCAAGATAAGCTTAGGCGTTAATCACATGTATTAACAAATGTTTATCCAAAGTTTAATTAACTTAAACCATTCTTTAATTGGTATTAATAAACCTCATTTATTTAAATAAAATAAAATAAAAAATCAATCAACGTCGAATATTAATATGATTCAATAAATCTCATGATGTGTCGATGATAGGTATTTGATATTGTTTGAGAAATCAGCTGACGTGGCTATAACGTACGGAACTTGGCCATTAATCAAAGCTGATGTAGACGTATGGCAAGAAGAATCATACACAAAGAGAGAGAAGCAAAATCGGAGAACAAAGAGAAGGTAATTGGTGGGGCCACTCCAGGGAATAAAATAACTATTTATTAACCGTCCCACATTCCTTTATTCGAAATTCTCTCCTACGTCCCTACACCGGGTCACCAACGCCATAACAAGAATCACACGTGTCAAATTCAAATGGGGCGGACCCATCTGTACGGACAGGACGTCAATCGGATGGTGAAAAGACCACAAATAAGGTTCAAACTCAATCAAGGACCGTTGACAACACATGAGCTTGGACTAGTTTAAAATTGACTGTTCTTGATGGATGTAAATGAAGGAGAGAGTGTAGTGATGAGGACTGAGGAGTTCCATAACCGTATCTCTCGACATCCACCGAACAAACATTAACATAAGCCGGCGAATTTTCCGGGAAAAAACCAGAAATTGATTCGTACCGACGGTAAAAACTGAGTTTATAAAGGCTAGCGCTGTAGTCCACAGTCTGGTTTGGTAAAAAAGAAAATTCTTTTCACTTGAAAACAAGGTAGGTTGTCTTTATGATAAAAAAAGTAAACTCCGTTAAAGGGACTGTTATTTTTTCTCTTTTCTTTTTAACTTGTGCACGTACAAGTTAGAGAAACTTATAGTAATAATAACCAAAAATAAATAAAAAATGAAGTAAATGCAATTGATGTAATTCTACTTTTATAATCACATTTTTAAACTGGAGTAAAGATTTAAAGTAGCTAGCAAGAAACAAAGCGAGAAGGAGATTTATATATGGAGAACAGTTTTTCTTTAACATTGCTATCTATGGTGATACAGAGGAGGGAGCAATTACATTTCTTTCTGGAGACATTGACAAGAGAAAACAGAAAGCAAAATGAAGACTGACATGTTCAGGAAAATAAAAATAGAAAAGACATACAAAAAGTAAAGATTATCTAATCAACGCAGACATTAGTTCTTCGTGTATCCAAAACGAGGAGATTCACGAAACATACAACTCCTCTTCCTCTGTCGTTTCCTATACGAGTCATTTTTTTTTTTTTTTTGGGGGGGGTTTTTTGGAAGTGTTATTGGAGAAGATAAATCATGAGGATCATCAAAGCCAAAGAGCGCCAGCCTCTTTGAGAAGAGGCACAAGAGTGCCATTGATATGAGAGGCCATGACTCTGTCCATGGAACCAACCAGCTTCCCGCCAATGAAAACAACAGGAACAGAAGAAGAACCACCCAGAAGCCTCATGAGAGCCTTCTCCATCTCTTTGCCTCTCGGGTCCTCGTCCAGCTCGTGCACAGTCGGGTTCACACCCATCCCGCAAAACAGCCGCTTGATGGCGTGGCACATGCAGCAGGAGCTCATGCTAAAGATCACCACCGCATTCTCTGAGGCCAGCCGCTCTATGCGCTCCAACGGGTCGCCACCAACGGTTCTCTGTGGAACATACGAACTCCATGACTCGGTTTGGTAATGCATTTTAAAATGCAAAGGTGGATTCAACAAGAAAGATGTGGAGAAAGTTTAAGTTTTTTTTGTCGGTGAAGTTTGAGTGAGCTTAGTGAGAAATGAAGGGAGATTTGGTTGGTATTTATAGAGGTGACCATACGATAAAGAGACTCCGATTTTTTTTATTAATATTTTAATATAAGGGTGTTTTTGTAAATAACACCGTTCTCTAAATTTTTTAATTAATTTATTTTCTTTTAGACAAACAAAAAAGGCTTCTGTGCAGCTCTCGTCAGCGCATGCCGAAGAGAGAGATTTTCTCACAAGCTTATGTTGTTTGTCCTGTTGATAGATTTAAATATCTTTTTAGGTAAGAAAAGAATAAAGTAAAATTTATATTAAAATGGGAGAGGAGAGACATGAACATGTAGCACAGGCTTTATCAGAAGAGAGTTAATGGCAAATAGACGGCTGTCTCCACCCTTGTTGTCGGGCCAAGATGATCATAAAGTTTAAAGGAGAAACGTGGCCATCACAAACCTTTGTTTCTTTTTTTGACGTGACATTCATGCGCATTTTAGCTTCTTTTATTTGGACCCTTTCAGCTCTAACGCCCCTAGCAATTTAATTTCAATCAACTATTACGTCATGTTTGTTTGAAGAAGATGATGATATTGATGGATGAGTTCGAATTTGTAAATGGGTCCCCGCCCAATCCCATGTTGATAAGAAAAATGGAATCCTCGATCAACGTTTGGATTTGGACGGTTTGATCTTTAGGAATTCTTTAAAAGCCGAAGGAATATTGTCACTAATACTTGTTACTAATTACGAACATCTCACTCACATGTGGGCTATTTGTTTTTGAAGATTATCCCTTTGGCATCTTCCTTTCGAGATTTTATTTTCTCTCTCTCCATTTGACACAACACATATATGCCCATTCTGTATCTAAAACCCAAATCATATTCTCTTATATCTCTCTTTTTCATTAAAGCAAATATATTTTCAGCTCCATTTGTTCAGTTGGAACTGTAAATTCAGATGAATGGTATAGTTTGAACATGCTGGTTCATGTTTGCAGATGCAGCACGTCCAATGAGAAACAGGCTGGCTTTAATTTGTTAATTAATTAGAAATAAATGAGTGTATAAAATATTGTTATATATAAGTTTGTACGGAATGCTCCTTTCCTTGCCTTTACTTAATTCCACAGAAAAAGAAAGTTTCTTCTTTTTGCAGATATGAAGAGAAGGGATATGCAGGTTCATGTTTGAAATAGACAGATTATATTTGCGAAGAAAAAGAAATTGATATGGTTGGATTTATACTGTCACTGAGCCTGTGCCTGTCGGATTTTTTTTTTTTTTTTTTTTCCTACTCTCTCGTATATCGATCTCACCTCACTCACGTAAAAAAAATACACACAGCTACTCCTTTATAGTTTATATACTTCCTTTTCACAAAATCATTGCTTTAATATAACGCTTAATATTTTCCCTGCTCATTTTTATAAATCAGAAAGTTCATCAT